AAGGCAGATGAGTAAACCTATAAACATGTTGAACCAAGCAAGTGGACAATTTCTGTCCGAAAATGCACGGAGTCCCCTTTTAGTATCATACTGTCATTACGGCCTCTAAACGCCCACCTACTTTATAATTACAGCCGTGCGAAAGTTCAAACTAAAAAAGTGCACCCATGGGGTGATGATAACATTAAGGCCTTATAAGGTAGAGCAGATGTCCAATAAAACAACAAGATTTCTAGAAAAGCCCACACAAAAAAACAAGTCCAAATTTGTTTGTTCTTTTCAAGAATCCAGCGCAATATGAATCTTCAAGGAAGCAGATTCCCTCTCAGATGGCCTCAGACCACAGTTACGTCCCTTAAGTTTTACCATGATCCGGAAGGTAAAGAGGAGAATGTAGTGCTCTGTTCGATGGTTTGTTGAGTCTGGGCCAGATATGTTTTGCTTGACATGAGATTCGACATTGTATTTTCTTGATAATTTGCTTTGATCCCAAATGAGTACATGATATTGACTCCAGCTTTCCATGATTTGACCCCCAGTTTAAAGGTCGATCTGTGTGTTTAGGCTCGATACTTCCACTGACCATTGTTGACAGTGGTTACTTGGAAATCGAGCTGCTGGACCCAGGCTGGTAGTTTGCGGTGTAAGTTATAAGTGACAGGTTAGTCATGCAACAGAAGAACAGCCTATGAACGATATTAATTAATGTGGGTTGACATGTCACTGCAGATAGCAAAGAAGGAAAATCATTGTGCTTTGAGGCCAGATGAATGTTCAACTCCGGTGGTGGAGTTTTGTTGATGGGTGTGGGCAGGTAAGGCTGGAAGGGGGTCATACATGGGTCATAGATCGTTAGTTGTACCACCACCACCGCATACATGTTCCTGCGGAAATAGTGGTTACATCAGGTATTCGTCTGATGGATTAGTATATCATGTCCACATGTGATGTGGAAAGCTGAGATTTTACGACAATCTATAAAAATATGGTTTGGGCCAGTTACCAAGTTAAATGTGGCCCGGACTTTCACACTCAAACACAGACCCAGTTCCAGACCACAACGCAGACACACACTCTAACACTAACTCACAGTTACACCCTGCTCGTTTGTTTTTTATCCGTACGCCTACTAAGGACGGTTTAGCCAAGACAAAGCTGTGTCTACTTCCGGGTTCATATCATGATAAATATTGATATTATCAGTTCTTTTGAAAATAAGATGAAGTTCGTTTTCATTAAAGCAGTTTGGATATTTTTGGTAATTGTTGCGCTACCTGAACGGCAATTTAAGATTTGCTAGTTACAGAAAAAGAAGAAGTTTGTTTTATTATAGAAGATAATGTGGCTTTGAGATTATAAAAGTAGGAATTCAAACTTTGAAATTATATCTCAAACTTGAACATTTCCCTCTTCACATCAAGTTTCATTTAAAGAAAGGAATAATGACCTTCCCATAACATTTTGCTTTAAAACACGCATTTGACATAGGTTGATAAACCTCCTGGACCCATAGTAATGGCAGCCTACTAGACTCAATACATGCACTCAACGAAATACTGGAGTTCAACATTTGTCATTCATTTATAAATTCTCTCTCCATTCATTTTTTTTCTCACTAATCATCTGTAGCTTGAAATTGCATTGGATGAACAGTTAAATCTATCATGCTTCCCAGCAGTGAGCTAGCCACTGGGTGCCAGGTTAGGTCACAAATACACAGCTTGATTTTTATAATTATGCAGGAAGATATGCATAAAATAGAGAGGCGGGTGACACCGTCCCATGTGATATTACATAATAAAGATTCACTCTTCACGCTCTCAGGGTGTAAAAAGTCGCTTGGAATTTTCTTTTCGAAATCTTCCAATGAGGGCATTTACATTCAACATCCTGATTTCCTGAACCACAAGTATATAAGGTGTGGTGAATCACAATAGCGACATTCAAATCGTTTATTCTCAAGTGGATAAACGTAACTGGCAGGATGCGCCTTCTTAATGTTGCAGTTGTTGTAGTCTTGGGTACGTTTGCCTTATCTGATGCGAATTCGCATTCCCAAGCTTTCTAATAATCAACTTTATGAGCTATTGCTGAGTTTTAAATGGCTTTACGATAATACTGACAACGTTATGATCAGGATAGTTTCTACCATGATGTAAACATTTATTAGGATTGGTAGACGGATTTTGTATGTATGCATCCTGTCATCTATGACCACTTATGCATTGTTTTTTCTTCACATTCTTTACAGTCTTCCTTGGCTCCGTCCTTGGTGGCCATGGTGGTGGTGGTCATGGAGGTGGAGGCCACGGTGGTGGTCATGGAGGCGGCGGCCATGGAGGAGGTCATGGTGGTGGTCACGGAGGTGGTCATGGAGGTGGTCACGGAGGTGGCAAAGGACACGGAGGAGGTGGCCACGGAGGTGGCAAAGGACACGGAGGAGGCGGCCATGGAGGTGGCGGCCACGGTGGCGGCAAAGGAGGTCATGGCGGAGGACACGGAGGTGGCGGCCATGGAGGAGGTCATGGAGGAGGTCACGGTGGAGGTCATGGAGGAGGCCACGGTGGCGGTCACGGAGGTGGCCATGGAGGTGGTGGTCATGGAGGCGGACACCACGGTTAAAACATTCAAGTATCATCATATTCACATCAAATGCTGGACATTTGATATCATGTTTGTCGATTCCACTCGCCATGCTGCATCGACCAAAGCTGTATATTCCTCAACGAGCACAAATAAAACTGCCATGTATATTGTAATTTTCTCTTGGCTTATATTTCCTTCAAGTACAACCAAATTCAAGATAGTATCAGCCACAGTAAACCACGGTCATAACGAACTCAAAGAGACCACATATTTTAGTTCGTTATAACCGTAGTTCATTATAAGCACATATACAGGATATATGTAGCAAAAGTCCGGGACCTAAGGGCAATACTTTATATCCGTCAGTTCGTTATAAGCGTGTTTGTTATAAAAGTAGTTAATTGTAGTTCCACTGCTTACGTTTCAATGTCCTGCACAGTGATTGTCACATTAGAATCATTGTCCACAAAGGTCCGGAAGCTCGAAGGCAGATGAGTAAACCTATAAACATGTTGAACCAAGCAAGTGGACAATTTCTGTCCGAAAATGCACGGAGTGCCCTTTTAGTATCATACTGTCATTACGGCCTCTAAACGCCCACCTACTTTATAATTACAGCCGTGCGAAAGTTCAAACTAAAAAAGTGCACCCATGGGGTGATGATAACATTAAGGCCTTATAAGGTAGAGCAGATGTCCAATAAAACAACAAGATTTCTAGAAAAGCCCACACAAAAAAACAAGTCCAAATTTGTTTGTTCTTTTCAAGAATCCAGCGCAATATGAATCTTCAAGGAAGCAGATTCCCTCTCAGATGGCCTCAGACCACAGTTACGTCCCTTAAGTTTTACCATGATCCGGAAGGTAAAGAGGAGAATGTAGTGCTCTGTTCGATGGTTTGTTGAGTCTGGGCCAGATATGTTTTGCTTGACATGAGATTCGACATTGTATTTTCTTGATAATTTGCTTTGATCCCAAATGAGTACATGATATTGACTCCAGCTTTCAATGATTTGACCCCCAGTTTAAAGGTCGATCTGTGTGTTTAGGCTCGATACTTCCACTGACCATTGTTGACAGTGGTTACTTGGAAATCGAGCTGCTGGACCCAGGCTGGTAGTTTGCGGTGTAAGTTATAAGTGACAGGTTAGTCATGCAACAGAAGAACAGCCTATGAACGATATTAATTAATGTGGGTTGACATGTCACTGCAGATAGCAAAGAAGGAAAATCATTGTGCTTTGAGGCCAGATGAATGTTCAACTCCGGTGGTGGAGTTTTGTTGGTGGGTGTGGGCAGGTAAGGCTGGAAGGGGGTCATACATGGGTCATAGATCGTTAGTTGTACCACCACCACCGCATACATGTTCCTGCGGAAATAGTGGTTACATCAGGTATTCGTCTGATGGATTAGTATATCATGTCCACATGTGATGTGGAAAGCTGAGATTTTACGACAATCTATAAAAATATGGTTTGGGCCAGTTACCAAGTTAAATGTGGCCCGGACTTTCACACTCAAACACAGACCCAGTTCCAGACCACAACGCAGACACACACACTAACACTAACTCACAGTTACACCCTGCTCGTTTGTTTTTTATCCGTACGCCTACTAAGGACGGTTTAGCCAAGACAAAGCTGTGTCTACTTCCGGGTTCATATCATGATAAATATTGATATTATCAGTTCTTTTGAAAATAAGATGAAGTTCGTTTTCATTAAAGCAGTTTGGATATTTTTGGTAATTGTTGCGCTACCTGAACGGCAATTTAAGATTTGCTAGTTACAGAAAAAGAAGAAGTTTGTTTTATTATAGAAGATAATGTGGCTTTGAGATTATAAAAGTAGGAATTCAAACTTGAACATTTCCCTCTTCACATCAAGTTTCATTTAAAGAAAGGAATAATGACCTTCCCATAACATTTTGCTTTAAAACACGCATTTGACATAGGTTGATAAACCTCCTGGTCCCATAGTAATGGTAGCCTACTAGACTCAATACATGCACTCAACGAAATACTGGAGTTCAACATTTGTCATTCATTTATAAATTCTCTCTCCATTCATTTTTTTTCTCACTAATCATCTGTAGCTTGAAATTGCATTGGATGAACAGTTAAATCTATCATGCTTCCCAGCAGTGAGCTAGCCACTGGGTGCCAGGTTAGGTCACAAATACACAGCTTGATTTTTATAATTATGCAGGAAGATATGCATAAAATAGAGAGGCAGGTGACACCGTCCCATGTGATATTACATAATAAAGATTCACTCTTCACGCTCTCAGGGTGTAAAAAGTCGCTTGGAATTTTCTTTTCGAAAATCTTCCAATGAGGGCATTTACATTCAACATCCTGATTTCCTGAACCACAAGTATATAAGGTGTGGTGAATCACAATAGCGACATTCAAATCGTTTATTCTCAAGTGGATAAACGTAACTGGCAGGATGCGCCTTCTTAATGTTGCAGTTGTTGTAGTCTTGGGTACGTTTGCCTTATCTGATGCGAATTCGCATTCCCAAGCTTTCTAATAATCAACTTTATGAGCTATTGCTGAGTTTTAAATGGCTTTACGATAATACTGACAACGTTATGATCAGGATAGTTTCTACCATGATGTAAACATTTATTAGGATTGGTAGACGGATTTTGTATGTATGCATCCTGTCATCTATGACCACTTATGCATTGTTTTTTCTTCACATTCTTTACAGTCTTCCTTGGCTCCGTCCTTGGTGGCCATGGTGGTGGTGGTCATGGAGGTGGAGGCCACGGTGGTGGTCATGGAGGCGGCGGCCATGGAGGAGGTCATGGTGGTGGTCACGGAGGTGGTCATGGAGGTGGTCACGGAGGTGGCAAAGGACACGGAGGAGGTGGCCACGGAGGTGGCAAAGGACACGGAGGAGGCGGCCATGGAGGTGGCGGCCACGGTGGCGGCAAAGGAGGTCATGGCGGAGGACACGGAGGTGGCGGCCATGGAGGAGGTCATGGAGGAGGTCACGGTGGAGGTCATGGAGGAGGCCACGGTGGCGGTCACGGAGGTGGCCATGGAGGTGGTGGTCATGGAGGCGGACACCACGGTTAAACATTCAAGTATCATCATATTCACATCAAATGCTGGACATTTGATATCAAATTTTGTCGATTCCACTCGCCATGCTGCATCGACCAAAGCTGTATATTCCTCAACGAGCACAAATAAAACTGCCATGTATATTGTAATTTTCTCTTGGCTTATATTTCCTTCAAGTACAACCAAATTCAAGATAGTATCAGCCACAATAAACCACGGTCATAACGAACTCAAAGAGACCACATATTTTAGTTCGTTATAACCGTAGTTCATTATAAGCACATATACAGGATATATGTAGCAAAAGTCCGGGACCTAAGGGCAATACTTTATATCCGTCAGTTCGTTATAAGCGTGTTTGTTATAAAAGTAGTTAATTGTAGTTCCACTGCTTACTTTTCAATGTCCTGCACAGTGATTGTCACATTAGAATCATTGTCCACAAAGGTCCTGAAGCTCGAAGGCAGATGAGTAAACCTATAAACATGTTGAACCAAGCAAGTGGACAATTTCTGTCCGAAAATGCACGGAGTCCCCTTTTAGTATCATACTATCATTACGGCCTCTAAACGCCCACCTACTTTATAATTACAGCCGTGCGAATGGTCAAACTAAAAAAGTGACACGTGTGACTCAATGCACCCATGGGGTGACGATAACATTAAGGCCTTATAAGGTAGAGCAGATGTCTAATAAAACAACAAGATTTCTAGAAAGCCTACACAAAAAAAACAAGTCCAAATTTGTTTGTTCTTTTCAAGAATCCAGCGCAATATGAATCTTCAAGGAAGCAGATTCCCTCTCAGAAGGCCTCAGACCACAGTTACGTCCCTTAAGTTTTACCATGACCCGGAAGGTAAAGAGGAGAACGTAGTGCTCTGTTCGATGGTTTGTTGAGTCTGGGCCAGATATGTTTTGCTTGACATGAGATTCGACATTGTATTTTCTTGATAATTTGTTTTGATCCCAAATGAGTACATGATATTGACTCCAGCTTTCCATGATTTGACCCCCAGTTTAAAGGTCGATCTGTGTGTTTAGGCTCGATACTTCCACTGACCATTGTTGACAGTGGTTATTTGGAAATCGAGCTGCTGGACCCAGGCTGGTAGTTTGCGGTGTAAGTTGTAAGTGACAGGTTAGTCATGCAACAGAAGAACAGCCTATGAACGATATTAATTAATGTGGGTTGACATGTCACTGCAGATAGCAAAGAAGGAAAATCATTGTGCTTTGAGGCCAGATGAATGTTCAACTCCGGTGGTGGAGTTTTGTTGGTGGGTGTGGGCAGGTAAGGCTGGAAGGGGGTCATACATGGGTCATAGATCGTTAGTTGTACCACCACCACCGCATACATGTTCCTGCGGAAATAGTGGTTACATCAGGTATTCGTCTGATGGATTAGTATATCATGTCCACATGTGATGTGGAGAGCTGAGATTTTACGACAATCTATAAAAATATGGTTTGGGCCAGTTACCAAGTTAAATGTGGCCCGGACTTTCACACTCAAACACAGACCCAGTTCCAGACCAAAACGCAGACACACACTCTAACACTAACTCACAGTTACACCCTGCTCGTTTGTTTTTTATCCATACGCCTACTAAGGACGGTTTAGCCAAGACAAAGCTGTGTCTACTTCCGGGTTCATATCATGATAAATATTGATATTATCAGTTCTTTTGAAAATAAGATGAAGTTCGTTTTCATTAAAGCAGTTTGGATATTTTTGGTAATTGTTGCGCTACCTGAACGGCAATTTAAGATTTGCTAGTTACAGAAAAAGAAGAAGTTTGTTTTATTATAGAAGATAATGTGGCTTTGAGATTATAAAAGTAGGAATTCAAACTTTGAAAATATATCTCAAACTTGAACATTTCCCTCTTCACATCAAGTTTCATTATGAAGAAAGGAATAATGACCTTCCCATAACATTTTGCTTTAAAACACGCATTTGACATAGGTTGATAAACCTCCTGGACCCATAGTAATGGCAGCCTACTAGACTCAATACATGCACTCAACGAAATACTGGAGTTCAACATTTGTCATTCATTTATAAATTCCCTCTCCATTCATTTTTTTTCTCACTAATCATCTGTAGCTTGAAATTGCATTGGATGAACAGTTAAATCTATCATGCTTCCCAGCAGTGAGCTAGCCACTGGGTGCCAGGTTAGGTCACAAATACACAGCTTGATTTTTATAATTATGCAGGAAGATATGCATAAAATAGAGAGGCAGGTGACACCGTCCCATGTGATATTACATAATAAAGATTCACTCTTCACGCTCTCAGGGTGTAAAAAGTCGCTTGGAATTTTCTTTTCGAAAATCTTCCAATGAGGGCATTTACATTCAACATCCTGATTTCCTGAACCACAAGTATATAAGGTGTGGTGAATCACAATAGCGACATTCAAATCGTTTATTCTCAAGTGGATAAACGTAACTGGCAGGATGCGCCTTCTTAATGTTGCAGTTGTTGTAGTCTTGGGTACGTTTGCCTTATCTGATGCGAACTCGCATTCCCAAGCTTTCTAATAATCAACTTTATGAGCCATTGCTGAGTTTTAAATGGCTTTATGATAATTCTGACAACGTTATGATCAGGATAGTTTCTACCATGATGTAAACATTTATTAGGATTGGTAGACGGATTTTGTATGTATGCATCCTGTCATCTATGACCACTTATGCATTGTTTTTTCTTCACATTCTTTACAGTCTTCCTTGGCTCCGTCCTTGGTGGCCATGGTGGTGGTGGTCATGGAGGTGGAGGCCACGGTAGTGGTCATGGAGGCGGCGGCCATGGAGGAGGTCATGGTGGTGGTCACGGAGGTGGTCATGGAGGTGGTCACGGAGGTGGCAAAGGACACGGAGGAGGTGGCCACGGAGGTGGCAAAGGACACGGAGGAGGTGGCCATGGAGGTGGCGGCCACGGTGGCGGCAAAGGAGGTCATGGCGGAGGACACGGAGGTGGCGGCCATGGAGGAGGTCATGGAGGAGGTCACGGTGGAGGTCATGGAGGAGGCCACGGTGGCGGTCACGGAGGTGGCCATGGAGGTGGTGGTCATGGAGGCGGACACCACGGTTAAACATTCAAGTATCATCATATTCACATCAAATGCTGGACATTTGATATCATGTTTGTCGATTCCACTCGCCATGCTGCATCGACCAAAGCTGTATATTCCTCAACGAGCACAAATTCAACTGCCATGTATATTGTAATTTTCTCTTGGCTTATATTTTCTTCAAGTACAACCAAATTCAAGATAGTATCAGCCACAGTAAACCACGGTCATAACGAACTCAAAGAGACCACATATTTTAGTTCGTTATAACCGTAGTTCATTATAAGCACATATACAGGATATATGTAGCAAAAGTCCGGGACCTAAGGGCAATACTTTATATCCGTCAGTTCGTTATAAGCGTGTTCGTTATAAAAGTAGTTAATTGTAGGTCCACTGCTTACGTTTCAATGTCCTGCACAGTGATTGTCACATTAGAATCATTGTCCACAAAGGTCCTGAAGCTCGAAGGCAGATGAGTAAACCTATAAACATGTTGAACCAAGCAAGTGGACAATTTCTGTCCGAAAATGCACGGAGTGCCCTTTTAGTATCATACTGTCATTACGGCCTCTAAACGCCCACCTACTTTATAATTACAGCCGTGCGAAAGTTCAAACTAAAAAAGTGCACCCATGGGGTGATGATAACATTAAGGCCTTATAAGGTAGAGCAGATGTCCAATAAAACAACAAGATTTCTAGAAAAGCCCACACAAAAAAACAAGTCCAAATTTGTTTGTTCTTTTCAAGAATCCAGCGCAATATGAATCTTCAAGGAAGCAGATTCCCTCTCAGATGGCCCCAGACCACAGTTACGTCCCTTAAGTTTTACCATGATCCGGAAGGTAAAGAGGAGAATGTAGTGCTCTGTTCGATGGTTTGTTGAGTCTGGGCCAGATGTGTTTTGCTTGACATGAGATTCGACATTGTATTTTCTTGATAATTTGCTTTGATCCCAAATGAGTACATGATATTGACTCCAGCTTTCCATGATTTGACCCCCAGTTTAAAGGTCGATCTGTGTGTTTAGGCTCGATACTTCCACTGACCATTGTTGACAGTGGTTACTTGGAAATCGAGCTGCTGGACCCAGGCTGGTAGTTTGCGGTGTAAGTTATAAGTGACAGGTTAGTCATGCAACAGAAGAACAGCCTATGAACGATATTAATTAATGTGGGTTGACATGTCACTGCAGATAGCAAAGAAGGAAAATCATTGTGCTTTGAGGCCAGATGAATGTTCAACTCCGGTGGTGGAGTTTTGTTGATGGGTGTGGGCAGGTAAGGCTGGAAGGGGGTCATACATGGGTCATAGATCGTTAGTTGTACCACCACCACCGCATACATGTTCCTGCGGAAATAGTGGTTACATCAGGTATTCGTCTGATGGATTAGTATATCATGTCCACATGTGATGTGGAAAGCTGAGATTTTACGACAATCTATAAAAATATGGTTTGGGCCAGTTACCAAGTTAAATGTGGCCCGGACTTTCACACTCAAACACAGACCCAGTTCCAGACCACAACGCAGACACACACACTAACACTAACTCACAGTTACACCCTGCTCGTTTGTTTTTTATCCGTACGCCTACTAAGGACGGTTTAGCCAAGACAAAGCTGTGTCTACTTCCGGGTTCATATCATGATAAATATTGATATTATCAGTTCTTTTGAAAATAAGATGAAGTTCGTTTTCATTAAAGCAGTTTGGATATTTTTGGTAATTGTTGCGCTACCTGAACGGCAATTTAAGATTTGCTAGTTACAGAAAAAGAAGAAGTTTGTTTTATTATAGAAGATAATGTGGCTTTGAGATTATAAAAGTAGGAATTCAAACTTTGAAAATATATCTCAAACTTGAACATTTCCCTCTTCACATCAAGTTTCATTATGAAGAAAGGAATAATGACCTTCCCATAACATTTTGCTTTAAAACACGCATTTGACATAGGTTGATAAACCTCCTGGACCCATAGTAATGGCAGCCTACTAGACTCAATACATGCACTCAACGAAATACTGGAGTTCAACATTTGTCATTCATTTATAAATTCTCTCTCCATTCATTTTTTTTCTCACTAATCATCTGTAGCTTGAAATTGCATTGGATGAACAGTTAAATCTATCATGCTTCCCAGCAGTGAGCTAGCCACTGGGTGCCAGGTTAGGTCACAAATACACAGCTTGATTTTTATAATTATGCAGGAAGATATGCATAAAATAGAGAGGCAGGTGACACCGTCCCATGTGATATTACATAATAAAGATTCACTCTTCACGCTCTCAGGGTGTAAAAAGTCGCTTGGAATTTTCTTTTCGAAAATCTTCCAATGAGGGCATTTACATTCAACATCCTGATTTCCTGAACCACAAGTATATAAGGTG